GGGCTGCTTAGAGATCACGAGGGTTGATCTCAGAAATCGAAGAGGCGTTTGCTTTCTCAAAAGTTGGGCTGCTCAAAGACCACGAAGGCCGATCTCAAAAATCGAAGAGGCGCTCGCTTTCTCAAAAGCTGGGCTCCCCAGAGACCACGAGGGCCGATCTCAGAAATCGAAGAGGCACCTACTTTTCCAGCCTTTTCCAGCCTTGTCAGCACCTGTCACACGCACACTCAGTTTTGCGGAAATTATGGGCATTCTGTCAAAGACTTCTGGGGAAGTAGAAAACACATGAATCTTACTGTTCAATCACCCACTTCTCACACGCAACAATAGCTCATGGGTACCACAGATAACTTTGCCAAAGTTCTCTGCCAAAGTTGAGCACGTGAAGCTTGCAGCTCCCACTACATCGCTCTGACCAAGAAGGGTAAAAGAATAGCAAAAGAAACAGCACTAACAAAGTTTAGACCCATAAATTTTGAAGGTCTAGCTACCATATTATTACCCACAAGGGTAAAGGAACAGTACCACTGCTGGATAATTGGAAAGTCCCTGTGTGTCAACCTCTGTGCTTCGTGGCAAGGTAGACTAGCAAACATGCCCAACCTTTACTCACATTCGAGAAAACACTCCCAATAAGATTGCTTGCTCCAAAATCGAAGAGGCACCGTCCTCCGAATCTCGAGAGCCAGACTCCCAACATGACTACTTTCTTAAAAATCGAAGAGAGGGTAAAGGAACAGTACCATTGCTGGATAATTGGAAAGTTCCTGTGTGTCAACCTCTGTGCTTCGTGGCAAGGTAGACTAGCAAACATGCCAAACCTTTACTCACATTCGAGAAAACACTCCCAACAAGATTGCTTGCTCCAAAATCGAAGAGGCACCGCCCTCCGAATCTCGAGAGCCAGACTCCCAACATGATTACTTTCTCAAAAATCGAAGAGACACTGCTCCCCGAATCTCGAGAGCCAGACCCCCAGCATGATTGCTTTCTCAAAAAATCGATGAGGCATCGTTCTCCGAATCAATCGAAGAGGCGCTCGCTTTCTCAAAAGCTGGGCTGCTCAGAGACCACGAGGGCCGATCTCAGAAATCGAAGAGGCACCTACTTTTCTAGCCTTGTCAGCACCTGTCACACGCACACTCAGCTTTGCAGAAATTATGGGCATTCTGTCGAAGACTTCTGGTGAAGTAGAAAGCACATGAATCTTACTGTTCAATCACCCACTTCCCACACGCAACAATAGCTCATGGGTACCACAAATAACTTTGCCAAAGTTCTCTGCCAAAGTTGAGCACGTGAAGCTTGCAGCTCCCACTACATCGCTCTGACCAAGAAAGGTAAAAGAATAGCAAAGAAACAGCACTAACAAAAGTTTAGACACATAAATTTTGAAGGTCTAGCTACCATATTATTACCCACAACTGTAAAGGAACAGTACCACTGCTGGATAATTGGAAAGTCCCTATGTGTCAACCTCTGTGCTTCGTGGCAAGGTAGACTAGCAAACATGCCCAACCTTTACTCACATTCGAGAAAAACACTCCCAATAAGATTGCTTGCTCCAAAATCGAAGAGGCACCGTCCTCCGAATCTCGAGAGCCAGACTCCCAACATGACTACTTTCTCAAAATCGAAGAGAGGGGTAAAGGAACAGTACCATTGCTGGATAATTGGAAAGTCCCTGTGTGTCAACCTTTGTGCTTCGTGGCAAGGTAGACTAGCAAACATGCCCAACCTTTACTCACATTCGAGACAACACTCCCAACAAGATTGCTTGCTCCAAAATCGAAGAGGCACCGCCCTCCGAATCTCGAGAGCCAGACTCCCAACATGATTACTTCCTCAAAAATCGAAGAGACACTGCTCTCCGAATCTCGAGAGTCATACCCCCAGCATGATTGCTTTCTCAAAAATCGAAGAGGCATCGTTCTCCGAATCTCGAGAGCCAGATACCACAGACCACTTTTTCAAAGTGCTCTGACAGAGTTAAAACATGTGAAACTGGTAGCTCCCACTACCGTGCTAAGACCAAGCAGGGTAAAGGAATAGCATTACTACTTGTTGTTAGGGAGACTCCTATATATGTCGACCTCCATCCCCAACGGACAGGCAGACCTGCAAAAATGCTCAACCCTTCATCATATCTGAGAGGGCACTCCCAACGAAGCCTTTCGAAATATTCAGCTTTCTTTCCCCCCGATAATACCTCTGCAAACAAGCTATACTAGAGCAAGAATATCTCATATCATCAGGGTTAAAAGCAAGAGTATCCCATATCATGCTTTTTCCCTGTCTTTTCTTTTGGCCTTTGTTTTTACCTGTAAGACAAGGAGAAAGAGAGCAATCAGTCAGCACTTGGAATCAAGCTTCCAGCCAGGAACTGACTGCCTGGAACCCCTTACCTGATTACTTACCTGGCATTGCTCTCGAGTACTCATCTTCAACATCTTATGTTTCCAGGGAAGATTCCGCATCTGCTTGAGGAACAGATAGGGCAAGTGCGAAGGATACAAGGAAGCATGTGGAGACAAGCGTAACAGCACACGTGCCGATACATTCATTACTCTGTCAAAAGCAAAAGTATCCCATATCAGCAGGGTGGAACGTACTCTAGATTTGATGGACTTGTTTTGACCCTCAAATTCTTCAGTCGGCCTTATACTCTGGAGGAAACCAGAAAACCCTCCAGCTCAGTTCAAGAATAAGCCTGTGGAAAGTTACTTCTTCAAAAGCAAAAGTATCTCATATCATCTCTTCTCATTTTTCTTCTCTTTATCCTTCATGCTGCTGCAAGATGGGGAGAAGGTGAACAATCAGTCGGAGCTCTGATTGCTTACCTTGTCTGTCACCTCTTTCAGCAGACCCCCGAGCTCGGCGACTTGGGGGACTCCTACTACATGGTTTGTATCGCGCTTGACCAAGCCTGAAACTACAAGTAAGCTTCAAGTGAAATTGATACATTACCTTGTGCATCTCCACCAGTTAAAGATACCACCCCTGGATGGAGGAAGAGTACTTCCAGAGAAGATGCCACATCTACCTATGAGACAGATAAGGCAAGTCAAGACGACACCACACTCCGATACTTAGAAGTTTCGTGATTACGAGATCATTCTCCCACAATATTTCCTAATGTCATTTGTACTAAATCATTCACTTGTACTCACTAAATGAGAGCTTGAACCTATGTACTTGTGTAAACCCTTCACAATTAATGAGAACTCTTCTATTCCGTGGACGTAGCCAATCTGGGTGAACCACGTACATCTTGTGTTTGCTTTCCTATCTCTATCCATTTATATACTTATCCACACTAATGACCGGAGCAATCTAGCGAAGCTCACAAAAAGCGATCGTTTTCGCTACCTAGGATCTATCTTGCAAGAGAACGGAGAATTAGATGGAGATCTCAACCATAGAATACGAGCTGGATGGAAAGAGTGCATCCGGCGTGTTGTGTGACCGTCGTAGGCCACTGAAGCTCAAGGGAAAATTTTATAGGACGGCAATAAGGCTAGCGATGTTGTATGGCACAGAATGTTGGGTGGTAAAGCATCAACACGTACACAAAATGGGTGTAGCGGAGATGAGGATGCTTCGTGGGATGTGTGGGCACACGAGAAAGGATAAGATTGGGAATGAGGATATCCGAGGTAAAGTAGGAGTAGCCGAAATTGTAGGAAATATGAGAGAAAATCGGCTCCGGTGATTTTGAACATGTGCAAAGAAGGCCGACTGACGCTCCGGTTCGAAGATGTGACTACGGGACAGAGGTTCAGGGCCGAAGGGGTAGAGGAAGACCTAGGACAACTTTGGAAGAGACTCTAAGAAAAGACGTAGAGTACTTGGATCTAACGGAGGACATGACACAAAACCGAGCGCAATGGCGTTCTAGGATTCATATAGCCGACCCCACTTAGTGGGAAAAGGCTTTGTTGTTGTTGTTGTTGTTGTTGAAGATCAATTATGTGAATAATAGTGCTAACCGTGCACAAAGATGATGACACCATGAAAATCATTAGTTGGAGTTTGAGAGGGCTTTCTTAAGTCTAGGAAGTGAAATCTAATAATAATAAAGAAAAATGAGATTTGATAGAAGAATTGTAGTAGCTCATGTGGAGCTAGGTGTAAGGAAAAGGAATTTATTACCTTTTTCAGAAAGTCTAGGGGAATTTTAGTTATATGGAACACACAAGGTTTTCTGGTCGAGTGAGTATTGAAAGAATTTTTCGGACTCCATTAAGCCTAAGGTGACTGATTGTTGACTTTAGTAGTAGTCCTGAGTTCATGCCCTTCACTAACAGAGTGGGGAAGGGACATTTTAATGTGGTTAGATTTACATCAGAAGAGTCTAGTTGGGGAGAAGCCTGAGGGTGTGAGTGATTTTAGTGCCTTTGTAAAAGAAACTAATTTGGTTTAGAAGGTAAAAGACCAAGATAATGTCACCCTTTACTTTTTAGCTTACTTTTTTTTTTGTAGTTTCTTGTATCACATCATTTGTTTATGGTGATATCACTGTATGTTTGGTTGCAGAGGTGCCAGTTCAATGCCTCTGCAAAAGGAGGAAGATAGGACGGGGAGGATGAAAGTTAGAGAAAAGACTTTGGTCTCATTTGTTTTAATGGTGACATCGTTGTGTAAAAAAAAAGAGAGGGGGGGGGGGGGGGGCGCTCTTAATCAAGCAAATTTGATATTGACAAAAAAAAAAAAATCAAGCAAATTTGAGGTTCAAATAGAACTATCATAAACTCAATTTGTTTTTCTATGGAATGGCATTACTTTTTGTTGCCATTTTGGTCTGTTTTTAACTAGTTTTCTTTTGGTGGTAGATGCATATAAGGCCGTGATAGGTTTTGTATTGCTGAAACCTAATTTTTCTAACACATTAGTTTAATTGTTTTTTCTAGTCATTCCGTAATCCCAGATTCATTTCTAAGTATTACTTTTGTTTTAACAAATGTATAGTTCTAATAACTTATTTGCAACTAAAAATTCAGGAATTAGAGGTTGTGAATGCCAAATTGTCATCTCAACTTGCAAATTGTTGCTGTCATGAGGTTTGTTATCTTTTGCTTAATATTTTGTTTTTCCCATTGTTCTCCTATATGATAAAATCAGATACCTATTTTACTGTTTAATCCTTGACTTTCTTAATAAATATTAAATCCTCACTAAACTCTTATTTTGATGTAATCATAGATGTTGTAGCACAATGGAATATTTGGTTGAAAAAAATGTATAGAAGAAAACTAGAGTTGATAAACAACTATGGTTCACAAGTACAAAGAATCCACGAAAATGTCACCTTTGACCAAATTGTATTACTATCAATCTCAAAATTTGTTTCCTCAAGTTTTTTTTTTTTTTTTTTTTTTTAACTATGAAATATCATTGTTTTCATTATGCATATCTGCTTTTTCCATAAAGTTTATATTTTCGAAAGCATCTAAAACTAATGTACATCAAGGTACTATACTTGTGATTCTGGGATATCATATGTAGCAAAATTCACTTTCTAATATTTTGATGTTACCCTTAATTTTGTATTAGGTTTTGTACAACTTTATATCGCCTATATAATGAAACTTGGGATATTTCAAAGTTTGAGGGAAAGAATAGGGAATTACGTGCCAGTTGTATCTCTTGCATTTCAGTTAGTATTTTCAGTAGTTTACTCGTTAGGGTCAATTGCATTTTGCACCCTTGTCGTTTAGGGCATATAACAGTTGTCCACCCTTAAAGTTGCAACTGTTCTACCATTAGCTCCTTTGTTCGTCAAACTGCCAAGTTAATCAATATGTTCTTTATTAAGAGGAACTCAGTGGGCTTATATTTTGCTCACAAGGCGCTAGGTTGATGTTGAAGGGCCCTTCTTCAAGATAAGGTTTTCCTTGAAAAAATATTATTATTTGCTGTCCATATAGTATCTAGTAATCCATGTGTCATCAAACTAGACACCTTGTAAGTAAAAATGGGCCAGCTGAGTGCTAATCAAAGGTTAACTTGACTAGTTTAATGGAGGGTCAATGTTGTAAGGATTCATAACTGTAGGGGTTTTTGTCAATTTTTAAAACACAAGGACCAACTGTCACTGACCTCAAACCAGAGGGTAATCAACACTAACTATTCAAGGGCATTGCTGGTAATTTCTTCAAAAAGGTATAGTAAACCCTTTAGATATGCAGACTAATGATTAAATGAAGGATTAAACTTGACACATGATTTTAGACAACAAACACAATTCAAGAAAAAAAGGTGCTGCAACTTTAACCAGAAAAGAAATATCTCCTTCGTATTGGTTTTACTTTTGCTTTTGTTTGTGTTTATCTTTTGGTTTTCTGAAGATGAGCATGTTATGATGCAGAAAGAGAAAAAGCCTGATGGTTCTGTAAGTTTTGATAGTTCAGTTGAGAAAAGCAGGAAATCAAACTCTGGAAGTAAGAAGACCACCATTGAGAAAGTAAAAGAGACAGTGCCAGGTTTAATTCTTTGAATTTACTTTTCAAAATAAAAGTAATATAACTTGTGGCATAAGATGCCAGGAAAACCCAACCTGACTAGTTGATAACCGTAAATATATTTTCTTAAGGTCCTTCAATCTCTCTCTCCATCCCACTCTTTTTCACTCATGTGGTTCATAGTTGTTTTCTATGTTTTTTCAATAAACCAGTGCATTGACTCATGCATAAGTACTTTGTTTAATGTTGTTGTCCAATTTTTATAACTCAGTAGTAGTTGTATTTTAAAATCAATAACATGCTTCTTTTAGGAAGCTCTCCTTTTGAAAAGTCTATTCTGGTTAATGACTTTTACACGCACATGTTCATATTTTTGAATTTTAAATCTCTATGTTTGTACACAGGTCATATCACAAGGATCATTAATCACCTCCCTAAGAGATATGTTGCTCTGAAAGTCATGTATTTTGGGCAGAGGTACTTTCTACAACTAAGATGATTTTATGTTGAAATCTTAGCTTTTGCCTTTCTTCTTAAGAAAGAATATCATTTTTCTCCTTTTTCTTCATTATCATTTATGAGGAATTAGGCAAGATTTCTAGAATACTATTGCATGTCCAGTAGGCTAGAAAGAACCTAATACCCTTATAAAGATCATGGGATGTAGAAGGCCTTTTGAACTCTTATGTGCTACATTACAGGTTTTATGGTTTTGCTTCAGAGGCACAAATGGATCCAACCATTGAGGTATTGATTCTCATATTACTGCTCTTATTTTCTAACTTTTACCTGAGTTTCATCTTATGCTCTGGAAAATATGCAGTCTGAATTTTTAAAGCCCTTGAGAAGACAAGACTTTTAGTTGATGACAAGAAGGAATCACAATACTCAAGATGTGGTAGAACCGACAAGGGAGTATCTGCTGTTGGGCAAGTAAGTTGATGCAAAATCTTTCTATTTGAGTTTCGGTGGTTGGTGATTATATGGTTGGAATAACTGTATACATATTTGTTGGGTATTCTTATGATTATTAGTTGCGCATTCCTCAATAGTAGGTTAAACTGAACTATGCTGGAATCATCTTTTGAATCTCATGCTGTAATAGTTGAAAGATGCTAGAAGTAGATTACCAAATGCTATCCTAGATAAAGTCAAGATTAAATGTGGATGTCGGGGGAATATATTAACAAATGACAATGATGCTAATTACTGATGTATTTATATATTCATGTAATTAACATTGTTGTCATTTATTAATATATCAGTGACAATATTGGTAAAATTTACAGAAATAATCAATTTTTATTTTAAGAAATGCAACTGTTAATGCAAAACCAATCAATAATTCGTCAATTAAGCCTGTAAACTTCACAAAATAATATATCTTGGATAAATGTATGACGTGTAAGGTGAAAACTAAAAACAGTGTGCACTACGGATGTGTGTGTGTGTATGTGCACTACGGATGTGTGTGTGTGTGTGTATATTTGAAACTTGAATATTATGTGCAAGGTGTATTTTTTTTAATTATTAATAAATTTTAGCTAATACTGTCTCGATTGTTATAAAAAGTGGAAGAAGGATGTTTTTGCACGTAGTTTTCAAGTTTCAATGTCATGTATCAGGGGCATTTTTTTTTTTGGGGACTTAAATATCATGTCAGAGATATACTATGTTGCATTTTTGCTGGATTGATTGGTGAATTATTGGTTGGTTCAACATTTCCACGAGTTTCATTCAAATTCCCATGTTTTAAAGAATTTTTTTTGTGGTCATTTTTGTAATTTCTGCCACATATCTGGAGATGGAATGAATTACTGATGTCTATATTTACAACCGTGCTTGATGCTTTGTTTCCTCCTAAAAGGAAAAGAATAGAACCTTGCTTGGTACCAGCTCTGATGCTACTATTTTTATTTCTTTTAAATATGATTGTTGAGAATATGGAAATTTTTTTTCTACAGGTTATCGCTCTCTATTTACGATCAAACCTCAAGGAAACATGTGAGAATAATGAAGATTCCAACAAAATCGTTTACAATGAGCAATATGGTTAGCGTGCTTTTTTGTTTTTGATAAGATATAAGAACTTTATGGAAAAGAAAAATGAAGTACAATAGAAGATGTGCAAGCAGTCCACATATGACTACGAAAAAGCATACAGGCCAAACCAACTACAAACACTAGACTAGAAAACAAACCATAAATGCAAAATTTATTTCCCCGTATAAAGAAGAAAAGAACTTAAATGATAGTTCCTAAAATGTTTAATCAATGCCAAGCAGAGGATAGATCTACATTTATCTCAAATAACGGACATCTCCTCTGCCCTGTTCCAGGATGATGTCCTGAATAGGATGGGGACGCTGTTCACATTAATTTAGACCAGGTTTTGATCAAAGATCGGAAAAAGCATGGCATAAGCCTAGTTCTGTTGGATCAGGGCTGTAGCGTGAGCTCACAATTCATACGGCAGTACAAGCTAGTGGAAACTGTGAGGGAGCAAAATAATTTCTCATTCTTTTTAGGAGCGGGAATAGGTCATAAGGCTATTCTTTAAGCTAAACAAAGCCATATAACCTTATGGTAGCCTGGGTTGTACTTTGGGAAAGTGCAATAATACTGATACAAAATAATTTAGTTATTTGGTTATATGTTATCATGATTACTGTTGCTTGAAAAGGAAAATGAACAAGAAAGTAAACTGTATAATGCTTTGATGCAAGAATATTGTCTTTGGGCGGAGGATTGCTTTTAGAGGCATCATAGGACACTTGATATGAGGAATGGCAAGATGAATGATTCCTGGTATTTGGTTGAACTAGTTGGATCTCAAAACCAATCGTCTGGGTTTGAGTATTGGTTAGTGCGTACCACGTGCCAATGTGTAGATTCATTTGACAAAGGTTTCAATCTTTAGCAGTCAAAATTGTTGAATGTTTTTTTTGTAAAACTCAAATCGCATGGCCTTGATTTGGGGAAGTATTTGTATCTACCACCGGTCTACGTAAGCAAAAAGTTTTTCAGTGGAAAAAAGCAACAAAAAAAGATTCTAGCACCGTAGTTGAGATTTTGAAGCATAGATTTTATTGTGCTAAAACTTGAACCATTGAACCATATTTGTTTTGCTGGCCCCGTTTAAGATTTTTAATTACCATTTGAGTTTTTGATGAATTTCAACTAACCACATTCGACTTCAATAACGCATGCTCCTTTGTTTTGTTCATGTTTTTCTCAGAAGGTGAAATTGATTACGTGAGGGTGTTGAATCGGGCCCTTCCAGAGGATATTCGAGTTTTTGGCTGGTGTCCTGTTCCATTGGATTTCAATGCCAGGTTTGTCTACCTTCTATGAGAGTTGCCACTATTTTGAGATGATAATGTTGTTAGAAATTATTCTGTTTTTTTGCAAAATCATATTTTTTTTTTTATTTTTTTTTTTTTTTTAAGTGAAAAGAACTAATCTTATAAACCTATTAAAATGACAGTTGCTCTGTGGATTTGATCCTTTTTATGGCGTTTCTTTAGTGAAACTTGTGTATTTTGACTATTTTCAAGCATTTAAAGATATGGAATGAATAAAAATACCTGTAGGCAGTTACAACCTAGTTAAGTTTTCTTGAATTTCCATGCCCTCTTTGAATTAATAGCCACAAAATGGAATTAGCAGTTAGCTAGAGGAGCGTTCTCCCCCCTTGCATCCAAGTTCAAGTTCCTCTCCCTGTAGTCTAGATTAATTTACTGTATAATATCACTTGTATCAAAATAGACACAAAATGGATGTACACGTATTGATATTAACTAAAAGTGTTTGGTATAGTGATCTTATAAATTATTGGACAATGAAAATGGCATTGATTCTTAAGCATAATCAAACAAGGAGACTCTTACCTCTATTTGTTAAGTTTCTTTTGTTATGCCATAACTCAAGATTATCCATGTGTTTGTCAAATGGTATGAGTCTGGTTAAAGTTTCTTGGAGCTTCCTTTTGCATAAATGCTAGTGGTATATTCAATTATGTGCCAAGTAAGTGTTAACCTGGAATTCTGGAGGACCATTATTTGTAGCAATAAAAAGGAATTTCTTAGTTAAAAAGGTGAAGTTCAGCTTATCCAATGTTCTTAAAAGTTTGGGAAGGATTTCAGTTCATCTGAGGATAGCTGAGTTATGAACTTCATTATCTGTATAATTGCAAAAAATATTCATATTTAATCTCTGATGCTTATATGGTTGAGGCTTTCTAACAGTTCACTGTATTCCATAACTGTACTGAGTCCTGACCCTCTTTTTTGTAGTCACTTTAATGACCTTATGCATGAGAGTAATTCGTTGCTTTCCTTGGTCAAATACAGGTTTAGCTGTTTAGGGAGGGAGTACTATTATTTATTTTGGGGGCAAAATCTGAATCTCTTGGTACGTAGTTCTTCTCTTTTGGAACGTTTTGAATGCATTTTCGTGCTCCTAGATTGGAGTTAAGAGAACACAAACATGGTTTTGTCTGGTTCATGTTTAGCCAGGCTATGGAGAGTGCTGGTAGGAAATTTGTTGGTGAACACGACTTCAGAAACTTTTGTAAAATGGATGCACTAAATGTACACAACTATAGGCGAAAAATCACTTCATTTGCAGTCTCTCCTTGTGATGTGAGGTTGACATGGGTAGCTAATTTTTCTGACCCTTTTCTCCCTTTTATTTTTTCGTTTTTACATTTAGTTGATTTGCATTACCCTAATTGCTTAACCTTGACACAACTGAGATATGCTCGAGTATCGCATTCACCAAGTTCTGTGAATATATCATTTTTCTTCTCGGTTGCTTACTTTTGCTCAATTTTGTTTTTTATGCATGTAAATGTGAGTGCGGACTGTACTTGAAAAAAGAAAATATTCGTTTATAATTGACCAAGTCAATTGCCCTTTATACTTGATCATGGCAGTCAAACTTGTATTTTTTGTTTTCCTGTATCAGTGATTCAGTTGTCATTTCCAGAAAAAAACTTCGTTTCTTTTTGTTTCTGCAAATCTTTTTTCCAACTTTTTTGTCTGCTACTTTTGGCATCATCTTTTGAATGCATAGTTCACTATCTGATTTTATCAACATGCCAAAATGAAGAGTTTCTGTATTGAGATTTTCCTGAAGGGATTGTCGGGAGTTTTGGTTTATAATATTGCATTTATTTTCAGGTTTGACGAGAACCAGCTTTGGGCGATTAAAATTAAAGGTAGTGCTTTCCTCTGGCACCAGGTCAGATGCATGGTTGCTGTGCTATTCTTGATCGGCCAAGGTCATGAATCTCCTGATGTGAGTATCAAATGTCAATTTGATAGATTGATTGCTGGAGTTTGGGTTATGCTTGTTTAAGTGTTAAGAAATGCAAAAGAAAAACATAGCACCTCAAAATTATCAGTTTTTTGTATCTCTTAAAACCATCATACTGGTGTGCACATAAGTCTGAGATGTAGCCGAAGTTGCTGTAAATGTGAACATTCTACTAGTGAAGGTATTGTTTCACACATGCGAATGATTGCATCTAGCCAGATGCCTCTTCCTAACATCTGCTTTCTGAATTCCCTTAATATACCACTCCAAAGATTTCCGTGAAAGCTAAAAGAAAAGTATTCAGTTGGGACCATTTTAAAGCAACAAGGTATGCTGTACCTGTTTCTTTGCTATAATTTGACTGTTACTGTTGAGGATTTTCTGTTCATAATAAAGATTGTTTAAACAAAAAACATGCCCACCATTGGAGTTTGATTTGGAAGTTCCAGTGATATGGAAACCACTAAGATCGACCCGTAGCCTGGGTTTAACCGCCAATGGCAGCATCTTCCTTTTGCTTTGAGGACACCTAGGCTTGAAATGCCCTCTACTTAAGTTTTCACTTTTGTTACATGAAAGTAACTGAGATTTAAGTATTTTAATTTGTAGGTGGTTGATGCATTACTGGATACGAGCAGAACCCCAAGAAAACCTCAATACACCATGGCCCCAGAGATCCCATTGGTTCTTCAGTCCTGTGAATTTGAGGGTCTCAAGTTCACTTGTTCTTCAGGTACTTATATGGTTGCTGAACCACAAACAGCCCACGCTATGTCTCTATAACTTCTGAATGTGTGCTTTTCACGTGTTCCTCTAGATGCTGGGCAAGCGTTGCGTGTACACTTGGCAAAAGAATGCCAAAGTTATCATCTCCAAGCTGCAATCTTCCACGAGGCTCTTCGGAGCTGCTTGCCAATAGAAAAAGGTGCTGAAAGTAATGTTCCTCATATATTTCCGTTGAATACTATTAGCATTTGCTGTATACTTATTGCCTATTTCTGGGACCACCTTTGTTTTCTCAGATCAGAGTTCCTTGGAAAATAGAACAATCAAGAAGAAATGTGCCCATGTCCCTCTAGTGTCGCGGCCAACTGAGCGTAAGTGCTACCGTCTCTTTGTAAACCGCATAGAACCGATTATTACGAGAAAAGTGGAACATTGTACAGGTGACATCCTCAGTAAATAGTTGGAAAATGTTAGGATATACTCTATGGTGGCTTGCTTTATGTTATGCAATATATAAAATGTGCTTTCAAGAGTGTCTAGCTTGCATTGTGTTCTCTGTGACAAGATTATCATGATTTCTCATTTTGCATATGGTTATCATGATTTCCTTCACCCCGTACAAAAATAAATCAGCAAACATAAACCACCACATCAAAATGGGTTGTCTTTGTGGTTGAGGCTGTTCAGGGAAGCTCGTTTGAGTTAGGCGCTTCCGCCTTCATGTACTGCTTTGTTGTGTGAGAGGTATCCATTTTCTGAGGGAAAGGGGAATGGTGCTGGGAGGCGTTTGGTGATGGCTGTTTTTTGGTGTAGCTTGGGTGGAAAGAAATAGAAAGATATTGTACTTTAGAGTGAGGGAGGTGGGTAATATGTGGGAGATAGTCCGATTTTGGGTACCTTATGAGCATCGGTATCTCCAGAATTTAGGGCATATTCTGTATCAAGTAAACCCACGTTTTCTTAGTATTGATATAAACTTTATGCATCCAGTAGTAGTATTAGTCCTTGCTAGCATTATTCTCTGTTTGCAGTTGTTTGTGTACGTGCTAGCATTAGTAATATTTTGTAACTTCACTAATCAAATTATAACTCTTCCTAAATTGATCGCAGCATCGTATGACGAGAGACGTGCCAAATTAAACTCCAAGGCGTAGAGACTGAAGAGCTTAATGATATTGTTATCTTGGAGATTAACAAACTAGACATTGTATTAGTATGTTCTATTAGTAAATTAATTGTTTCGTTGCAAAATGTTGTTCAACGATTTTTCTTATCGATGTATAATTTCTCACAATTGGTTTTTTCTATTTTTCTGTTATCGTAAAACTGAAAAACTTGTAGTTTTCAGCTTTTAGTTTTCAAAAAGGTGACAATAAAAATTGAAATGTAAGAATCCTAAGCTTTTGCTTCTTCACTTTTGTAGCCTGCGAAAAGGCTGAAAGCACATGGACAAAGAGTAGAGTGCGTAGACCTCACAAACCCCCAATCATTTTACCAACTACTTGGGGCTGCTTCTGCGTCCGGGTCCGGTTCATATGCCATCCTCGACTCTTTTCACGGGGATGTCTCTTCTTTTCTTTTTAATTTATTTATTTATGGTATATTCATGTTTATATTTTGCAAAAGGACGGAGGATGAAGACCTTAACCATAGAATACAAGCTGGATGGATAAAGTTGAATAGTGCAATCAACATGTTGTGTGACCGTTGTATGCCACTGAATCTCAAGGGAAAATTTTATAAGACGGCAATAAGGCCGGTAATGCTTTATGGCACGGAATGTTGGGCGGTGAAGCATCAATATGTACATAAAATGGGTGTAGCGGAGATGAGAATGTTTCGTTGGATGTGTGGGCACACGAGAAATGATAAGATTAGGAATGAGGATATTCAAGGTAAAGTAGGAGTAGCCGAAATTAAAGGAAAGATGAGAGAAAATCGGTTACGGTAGTTTGGACATGTGAAACAAAGGCCTACTGATGCTCCGGTTAGAAGATGCGATTACATAATATATGTTCAAGGCTGAAGGGGTAGAGGAAGACCTAGGAAGACTTTAGAAGAGACTATAAGAAAAGACTAAGTATTTGGATCTAACGGAAGAAGTGACACAGAACCGAGCGCAATGGTGTTTTAGGATTTATATAGCCGACCCTACTTATTAAAAAAAGATTTTGTTGTTGTATATTCAAGTTTATATTACATTCATAAATAAATAGTCAATTACTTCTCTATCGTTAAATTACTCAATATTGCATTCAAAAATTTATTATGAATTAGTTTAGTGTTTGCCACATCATCTCAATTCTCCCTCAGTTTAACTCAATTCTCCATCGAGTGGGTCTAGTGTATCAATCTTTGTATGTGACTCATTTAATACAACATGACGTTTTTACTTTCTTAAGTGGCTCATGAGCTGTCCAATGACAGATATAGACGAAATAATGGATGAAATTTTGAAAATCTGACAAAGAGTGATAGTTGGTTATTTATAAGATAAAGTCATAGGGAGTGATTCACTAATTAAAATATCATAGTGGAAATTAAAAGTAGCGTACAAAAGGGGGCAAATCGCTCATTGAAATATCAAATTTGAGTTGCATGTAATATTTCTCCTCTTTATGCATCTCGAAGTTAAAACTAATATATAGCTAATATTTGAGTATTTTTGTTAGATTAATCACCGATAGAGGTCGAATTCATGTTGTCATACAAGAGCTCAACTTATTTCCATCACTATGGTAAAGAACCACTTGCAAAATTACTTAGTTTTAAAGATTAAAAATATTTATCATATCGAATTCAAAGTGACATGCTATTATTACTTAATATTCATATTTCATATAGCGCGAAGGCATATTGTTCTTTTTTTTTCTCTCAAATCAAATAAACCATACAAAATGAGAAATAAAAAAATGGCTTTTTTTATTAGCATTTCACATAATGTTGAATACATTCTACATTAAAATTTAATATTAAATGGTTTATATACCCTAATATGCATTGACAATTTTGATCTTATAAGGTTTTAAAAAAAAAAATTAATACTAAATGCACCCCAAATGACTTTTGTGTATACCATATTTAGGGCCTCGTATTTAGACCTCGTATAAATACTCGGGGGACTTAAATGTAATTATGTGATAAAGGAATGGGCAAATATGTAATAAGTGAGGAGTCCTTATTCTATAAAAGGACCCCTCACCCTCACAATTAGGGGAGGTCAATTCCTAAGTCTCCTCACCCCCTCTCAACGCTCTCACTCTCAAAGCTCTCTCTCTCCCTCACTTCTTAGAGAAATATAATACAATCAGTGTGGACGTAGCCCAAACCTTGGGGTGAATCACGATATATCTTGTGTTATTTACATTTCATGCAAATTCACAGTCGGATTTACGTTGTTCCAAGACCTCCGGTTTATGCTTCAACATTTGGCGGCGTCTGTGGGAAACGACATGAAAAGCTATGTCGGTTCTCTTTCAATTTTTCATCTCACCACTATGAATATGCAAGAACCAAAAACCCAGAAACAAAAAAGCTCCAAATCTCTATCATCACTCTTTTTCTCTCAAGAAATTTTTCTCACTGTGTTTGCTGTGATGTCAAAGAACGATTCGATTTCAAAAGGCTTGGGAGACGGTGCCAAAGTCTCCATGGAGGAGCTGAAGAAGATCTTGCCAACAAGTCCGACAAGAATGGCGACGGTCACGTTGACATCGTGGAGTTCGCCGAGATCATCAAGGGTGGATCCACCAAAGAGCTTCACGACGCATTCGACCTCTCCACGATCTCAATCTTCGAATCCCCAAATTTCTACATCCCTAAATCGAACAACAGCTCACATAATAGATCTTGCCGACAAAAAAATCAGAGCATGAAAACTTCAAGAATCCATGGCGATGAAGTGTGTGATTGTTTCTGCAGTTCGAGGTTTTGCTTCATCAGGGAGCTCAGCATCTTCAACAACTTTCACCAAGCACCTCCATGCATCTGTTGGCTATAATCGCTCCACCAACATCCCCTTTGACTCCGCCCTCATCCACGAGTCCACCACCGAGTCAACCACCAAGACCATCTGCAACGTGACGCGGAACCTGTACAAGGTCTTCTGCAAGGACCCAACCCTTCCCAACGATCTGCGTGAGGAGAACCCTTTCAAGCTCTCCAGGCTGCCCTGGAACAGCTCTGTCATGCGCGTCAGGAAGCAAAGATATGGCATGGCGATCTGGATCGTCCTTGTCAAGGTCTCTGATCTTAACCGCAAGAGCTTCAACATTCCGGTCATCTCCGTCGATCTCATCCCTCCCTCACACTCCGCTTCGATTAATCTCCTCGGCAGCATACCATCGCACATTACCCTAGCTTGGGCTCATCTCACAAGCCATATCTCCGTCGAAGCGTGCCATTACTGCGAGCTGTCTCTAGCGACAGGATCTGTTTTGAGTTGTATCTGAGGAAGGTAAACAAGAAAGAGGGGCTAGGGATCTGGTATGACGTCGTTTGCCTTTTCTCTTGCACTCTCGTTCGTCGGGACTGGATTGGCGGTTTCGGTTTCAGTCATCGTAGGGAATCAACATATCAAACAAGTGGCCACTGTAACCAAGAACACGGAAAAACATTGTTTGGTTGCTAAGAAAATATTTGAGCTTGACCAAATTCACGATTCAAAGGTTCCTCTCTCTTGAAGATCTATTTGCTTGCTTTCTCATCTGTAGACTTCTAAGTTGTGTGCGAGATCTACAACCAAGGATTTCCAACTGGCCAAATAGAAAGCAATGGAGTTCTTAGGCAGCAAAAGTGTTTTGATCGTTCTGGGACACTGCCCTGCGGAATGCCCATCCCCTTCACCGACAGACAAAAAGGTTTATACTTTGGCTGAGGTCTCTGCTCACAGCTCCACTACTAGAGCAATGATGGAAACGCTCACGAAGAGGATAAGTGGTGCCTAGCTTTACTTTTCTTTTGTCTGCCTCAATTATTCTATAAATGGTGCCCATCTCCTACGAATACCATGAGCATTAGTGGAAAACCAGGCAGAAGATAAGATTCATGTTCCCATAATAAATCATTAGTCCACTTTGGCATTGTCCGCCATCTGCCAAAAGAGAAAAGAAAAAAAGGGGAAAAATTATAAGGTTCCTATTATTACAATTTCTTTTGTCTACCAGGTGAAGAGACAAAGAAAGTGCGACGGAAAGCAGAAAGCAAAAGCAAGGAATAAACACCCCACCAGAATGATGTGATTTATTTTTCTGGTTTTCGTATGATGTAATTTATTTTTCTTATCTTTCGGAGATATATGTATAAACCCCATCAGAGGGTATACATATAAAAAATAAAAAATAAAAAAAACCCCCAAAATAAATGTGCTGCCATGTTATGGAGGGCAAATGCCCATAAGCCCAAAATAGCACCAACCAGATGACCAAAAGTACGCCCAGTACTCCACAATTATTCAGCAACCTGCCTCTATTATCACCAACCAGGTGACCAAAAGTACGCCCAGTACTCCAAAATTATTCGGCAACCTACCGCTATTACCACCAACCATGTGATGAAATGTACAACCCGTACTCCAATATCATTTGGCAACTAGCCATTCATGCCACCAACCAGGTGATGAAATGCACAACCTATAATGAAATGTACAACCCGTACTCCAATATCATTTAGCAACCAGTCATTCATGCCACCAACCAGGTGATGAAATGTACAACCCGTACTCTCCTTCATGCCACCAACCAGGTGATTAAAAGTACGCCCAGTACTCCAAATTATACATGAGCATTACTCATGTCATTCATACATAAACATTCATGAGCATCACTCATGACAATCATACATAAACATTCATGACCATCATTCATGACAACATCCATAAGCATCACTCATGTTAAACAACATAAACATTCATGAGCATCACTCATGTCAATCAGCTTCAAAAGCTTCATTTACAAAAGCTCCAGCTTTGAAAGCTTCATTTACAGAGCTCTAGCTTCAAAGCTTCACTTGCAAAGCTTCACCTACAAAGCTTCAGGGCAGGGTATACAAATACCGCATCCGACCAACCACCACTTCGGCCCATACATGGATTCAATTTGAAGTCTCCAACCAACATACTCTATTGACCGAAAACTTGGGGGACTAAAATATATTGGGCCTCAACTGAGCCTCATGAAAAATACTTGGGGGACTTAGCCCATTATTTATGTATTAAGGAGCGAGCCCTTATTCTATAAAATGGACTCCATCACCTTCATTAGAGAGTAACGCCGCCAGCTGAGCAACCGCTTCGCCGCGAGCATCACTCATAACCCATCACTTATGTATTAAGGAGCGAGCCCTTATTCTATAAAAATGACTCCCTCACCACCATTAGAGAGCATCGTCGCCTACTGAGCAACCGCCTTGCTGCGAGCATCAATTCTAGCCCATCATTTATATATTGAGGAGCGAGCCCTTATTTTATAAAAGGGACTCCCTCACCTTCAACGCCACAAGCCGAGCCAACCAAGGCAATATAAGCCACAAGTCGAGCAACCTCGCAACATGTGATAGTTGAGCATCATTTCAGATTGAGCACCGCCTCATATCGAACATCAGTTCAAGACAACATCTAGTTACTTCGGCCCACACATGGACTGAATTTCAAATCTTCAGCCAAAAGACTTTCTTAACTGAAGACTTGAGGGACTACTGTTTATACCATATTTAGGGCCTCGTATTTAGACATCATATAAATACTCGGGGGACTTAAATGTAATTATGTGATAAAGGAATGGGCAAATATGTAATAAGTGAGGAGTCCTTATTCTATAAAAGGACCCCTCACCCTCACAATTAGAGGAGGCCAATTCTTAAGGCTCCTCACCCCCTCTCAACGCTCTCACTCTCAAAGTTCTCTGTCTCCCTTACTTCTCAGAGAAATATAATACAATCAATGTGGACGTAGCCCAAACCTTGGGGTGAACCACGATACATCTTGTGTTATTTACATTTCATGCAGATTCACAGTCGGATTTACGTTGTTCCAAGACCTCCGGTTTTGTGCATCAACAACTTTTAACATGTATATCATAATATTATTTATCTTCTTCGACTCTATAAACCACTCTCACTCTCCATTGTAGATCAAAAAGCCTAACCAATGAAATTACAAACTCGTTGATTGAGAAAAATTATTTTTGACGAGTAGAACAGGAAATCGATATTTCGAAAGCTTCATCTTGTTCAAAATGTACAGTCATAAGTGGTGAAATTTAAACTTCATTGGTCTCAGATTACAGTCATCGCCTTCTTTCGCAAAGAAATTTTGCCGTTTCACTTTTGTAAGGTTCCCCAAACGTGCAACTTCTACCTTCCTCTATTTGAACCTCTCTAGCAATAAGAAAATCCTGATATGACATGAGTGATTTCGTATCAAGGTACATATAGCACAGAGAAAGAAAAAAAGTCATTTTGAAGTGTACCGGGGGTGTATGGAGAAAATATAGGGTGTGTATATAGAAATGTAAGGTGCGTATGTTGAGAGTGTGAGTATGAGGTTATTATAGAAAAGTATGTTGGAGGTATTAAGAAAAATTTTAATTAAAAAAGTAAATATGAAGTGTATTAAATATGTGAGGTGTATTCAACAATACATGGATATTAATATAACAAGCCTAAAAAAATTCAGCGTGTGAGAGAGATTTGGAGAGGGAAACTCGGGTCAAACGAAACAAGGCGCCTCTTTTCTTTTTGCTTCGCTTCTCTGGAGTTTTATCAACCCGAACAAATAAACAAACAAAAGGAAAAGAAAAGGAAAGAGGAAAAATGGAAGCGGCGATGGGACTGATGCGGCGGATGCCTCCCAAGCACACCGAGACGTCTCTCTCCGCCCTTCTCTCCCTTCTCCCCCAGCACTCATCCGATCTCCTCTCTCAAGTCGATCAGCCTCTCCAGGTTCTGCCCTGTTTGTTTCCCGAGAAAATCCTGTCCAATCCAATCCAATTTTCACTTTCCAGTTTTCTTTCTCTTAGGGTTTCATAACAATCCCAAAAGCAACGGAAACGTTGTTCTGAAAATCGAATTTTAAAGTGACTCTGATGCTATGATTTACCAAAAAGCAGGTTTTGTGCGATATGGAATACGGGAAGGAGTTCATTCTGTGTGAATATAACAGAGATGCAGACTCTTACAGGTAATTCAGTTCCTTGTCAACTTTGATGGGTTCGTGTTAGATTTTTCATATATTATGCTTCAATTGCCACATTTTGGGGGGACATTTTAGAGGTAGCAGATCTGGCTTTGACTTGTGAATCTGGATGTTTGGTATATTTTTATGAATTTAATTTGATTTTTTTTTGGGTTTTTATGCAGATTTATTGATGTGATTAGTGAAATGCATGTATAACTATGTAAACCAGTAGTTTAATTTTTTCGTATAATTGTTTCTGTTCTGTGAATTTCAATTGTCTATAGTGTTTTTCGTGCTCCTATGTTTCCATGTAGATCACCTTGGTCAAACAAATATCATCCGCCGCTAGAAGACGGCAGCCTCCCATCTTTAGAGCTGAGGAAACTTGAAGTTGAAGCCAACGACATCTTTGCCATTTATCGTGACCAGTGAGGTTCTTTACTTACCTCGTTCTTGCGTTATTCTTTGCAATGGTTTTTCTTTCCGTTATCTAATTTTCAAAACAGAAGAAGCAATACAAGAAGCGAGAATGTGTAGAAAGTATCCTCGTGCAATTTATTTTAGCACAATGATTCAGTTCTTTGTTTCATTCTGAAGATTTAGTACAGCTTGATTGACCGGTAATTTGGTAGGTATTATGAAGGTGGCATTTCATCAGTTTATATGTGGGAGGATGATAACGAAGGTTTTGTAGGCTGCTTTTTAATAAAAAAAGGTCTGTTGCCTGAACTATCTCGAAGCACATAAAATTTATTTTCTGTTATATGCGTATTTGCTGATTTCAATTATTTGTGGGAATTTAGATGGCTCCAAGACAGGGCAAGGTCGGCGAGGTTATCTGCAGGAGGGGGCATGGGATGCTATACATGTGATTGAGGTAAACTCTATATTTCATGGAAGGAACAATGTAGATCTGTAGTGAAGGTGTTCATGCCGTCCTGACACTCCCTCCCCTTTCACACTTACACTAATTGCCATTCTGGAACTTTTTTCTTACATAGGTGGGTCCGGAGGAGGAAGGAACAGCCCATTACCGTTTAACAAGTACTGTAATGCTGTCTTTGACTACAGATAATGAGTCGTCAGGCACATTCAGTTTGTCTGGATCAATTAGACGACAGGTAATCATAATCGATTTTAATTGTGGAAACAATTTTTTAAGAGGTACAAGGAAGTCAGTTTGGAGAGAAATGTTCTCCTTCGTCACCCCTATTTCTTCCTTTTCTTCTCTTTCTAAGAATGTTTAATTTTTCTTTATGCAATGTCTGGAATTTTCAAATTGTGGGCACCTACTATATCCGAATGAGTAATTCATCCATGTGATGTGAACTGTACATGTTTTGATATGAATTGGCATGGTCTAGCATCTAAATTGCTCTCGGAGATCAACATTGAAGTGATAAGCGTGTTTTGAACAGGAGGAGGAGTTCGTATCAGGGAACTATTTCTCTTTTTTTTTTCTTGCAAATACATATCATTTTTTAGCAAGTGAATGTGCTAGTGAACAACTCTTCTGTCTCTTTTGATAAGAGAGGAAGAACTTGATGTGCACCAAGGACAGTGCTGTGTAATCTCTGTGGATCAACTTTAGGTGTATCGTGTTATACTGATGGACCTGATGTGGTTTATTAATTAAGCAAAAGATTTGTAGTTTGAATGATCACCCAAAATCTGTTTTTCTATGCTGCCCTGCATGTACTATTTGTATGATATCTTGGGATGGATCAAATACTCCTTTTTGGCATTGTAGATGAATATGCACCTGTCAACTGAAGAAGGCCATCTTTGTAACATGGGAAGAATGATCGAAGAAATGGAGAGCAAGCTGAGAAATTCACTGGATCAGGTACTGTGGTTCCTTACATGCGTATTTTACCATTCTTTGTGCCGCTCTATAGTTCTGATTATAGGATGTTTCAGCAAGTTATTGAACTAAGAGTCATGGCCCAGGCTTAAACTTTAGGCCATCACCTCTGAAACGGCGGAATACCTCTTAAACTCTATCTGTGAAATTTTAAACTTTCATATTTCTGCTATGGCAGGTTTATTTTGGGAAGACGAAAGAGATGGTTTGCACATTACGACCGCCATCTGAAGTAGTGATGAGACTGCCCGACAGCTGATGAGGCATATTCTATAGTCTACCAAAAAGGGAGAATACGAGTAATTCACTAGGAGTCGGTTGTCAAACTTGCTTAACTGGGTGATTGGGGTTTCAGCGTACTTTGTGTGTATGACATTATTTTCTTTTGAAATTTACTTTCATATTGATTTGTTCCGCTTGGCCTTTCTGCCGTTGCACAGCGGAGAAGATGGCTGGTTTGTCAATCGAAAAGGCCTCATGTTTCTTTCATTTGTGTTACTAGTCGGTTATCTACACACAACTACACCAGATCAGACTGTTGTTGGGTGCAATCGATGGAGTTGCAACAACCAAATCAAGGGTTGCCTCTAAGCAAAGAGGTCTCTTGTACGTGTGGTCTAATTTTGGGCCCACAGAAGGAGATGCAAAGTGCGTTGAGTTTCGAAGCATATCAATGCTCTGTGTAACAACGAACTGATTTTTAGGACTTAAAAATAAGAGTGTAAATACAAAATAACAAATAATGAAGAAATAAAAAATGATAAAACCAAATAACAAATGCAAATGGCCTTTTACTATGGTAGTAAAAAGGTGACGTGGATGGGGAAGAAAGGGATGGTTCCCTATGCAAAAAAATATATATATTAAATGATTTTTTTTAGTTTTTTAATATTTAATTAAATTTTTTAAAGAGTTCAGTTTCAAGCCACGTTACTATTTAACGAAAGAATTGACAGAAAACTTACGGAAGATATGAAATTGTAAAAAATTCGTAGATGAGGTATGACATTGAAATTTTTTAAAGATGAGGTATGAAACTGACCTAATAGTTGAGGTAAAAAACACAAAGGAATAACAAATGAAAACCAGCAAAGAAATAATAATTTATCATAGCCACCACCAAAGACATAACAAATGATCATAACCAGCAAAGAGAGATCAATTAATCATAACCAAATGAATGAATTAATTAACGAGTGGAAATTACACGGAATCACTAAAAGCCAATTAAACTTCATCAAAATTAATGTATTTATAAATCCATTAAAATTCCTCAAAATCTCAATCGAATAATCTAAAGAAGCCTCTCGACGAGAAGTAGATTTGCCGGTGAAATCTTTTGGAATGACCCAAAACAACAATGTTTCCGTCCTCGGGATGAGCAGCTCAACGTCGGCGGCACCTGTCTCGGCATGGCAGGACCTGGAAGAGCTTGATAGCTTCCAAAATCGATCTTCTGGATTCTTTTCTTCATACTGCAATATCCGGAATTTTCAAATTGTGGCCGCAAAATTTATATGGATGAGTAATTCATTCATGTGATGGTAATCTGCAAATGTTAAGATATTAAGTGGCATGGTCTACCATGTAAACGGCTGTCAGCGTTTAAGTGGAAAGTGTGTTTCTTACAGGAGGAAGTCATAACTATTTCTCTTGTTTTTTGTTGCAAATACAAATTGAAAGTTACAGCGAACAACACTGTCACTTGATAGTTATCAAGGGAATGACAGTAGTGTGAAATCTCGGTGAATCGAATCAGTTTTTGGACGATTGTGTTTTAATTAAGGACAATATTTGTTGTTTGAATGATCACCCTGCCCTGCATGTAGTATTTGTATCATATCCTGGGCTTGCAGTTAGTTGGTTTGGTCCGTGTCCGTGTCCGCGTTATGTTTTCTTTTTTCAGAAAGAAATAAATGAAGTTTGATGGCCGGAACATTGTCGTCGCTGCAGCAGCTGTTGGTGGTGGTGGTGGTGGTGTTATTAGCGGCGAAAGTGCTCTGCTGATCTGGTTCCTCGTCGGCAGCTCGGTCCTTGCTCTGCTGCTGCTTCAGCTTCAGTGCTGCAATCTAAAAAATCAAAGCCATTAAGCCACTGTGAGTATTTGTTTTTCGCTTGCTTTTCTATCACAATTTCTACCTTCATTTTTTCAGTAACTAAACAAATATATAATTATATATTTATACACCTCATTTTCTAGGAGAAGCTTCTCTTCTTTCAGCTGTTTTTCCTGTTCAGATTTAGAGCCATGCATAAGACACCAAATTCAAATCAGCACTGTCAAAATAACTCTACAAATATTTGCAGCAACATATCAATTGCACCAAATTAATAATCAGTAACATAGAATATATAGATATATATGGCACCAGAAATGTAGTGATCAGACAACTGAGAATATAAGAAAAGTATTAGTGAACAGATATAGTTGATCTTAATTTACTCTTTCCCTCCCCTTCTCCGAAACCACAAAAAAAAATGAAGCAACAAAAATGCAAGTCCCTGCACGAACCTTGAGTTGTAGGGAGGGCATATCCACAGCACACATGGACCGCTCATCAGCACATGTGTAAAGCGGATATGCCCTCAGACAGATTGCAATTGGCAAGAGAATAGAATTAGAACCCCTTCCAATCTCATGAGCTAGAATGCAAATACAAATCTGTACTAGTAATAGTATACCAAAACTGGGCAGTAAAACCCTCTTCAATCTCCACTTTAACAAAGCGTATATCCTGCTAATTAATGTGAACACTCTTCAAAACATAAAACACTTTCTGTTCATAGTTGAAGTTTGATGATGTCAGAGAAAGAATGCATACCGTCTCGATAAGAGCTGTACAGGTTTCCGTCATCAGCTGTGTCTGCATTATCAATAGTACTCAACTCAAGTGAGTTTTTACCTCCAATCTATTAAAATTCCTGTACTTCCAATACACGACGCAAATTATATGAACACTTCACTTATCTGTTACTATTGTGTGTTTATTTCAATGATAGTCGAGTGACTCGAACCCATATTTTCTTTTCTTCATATTCCTAGTTATTTATGACACAGTAATTCCATAAAAAATAACAGAATTTATATTAGTGCACACATACATTAGTCTCTGGAATTACTGGAATTACTGAAATTATCAAATATCAGTGAACTTCTATCGTGAAACACTGATGTTGTTACACTGATGAAATTACAGTTTCATGGATGAATCATATTGTTCACTCAAAAACCTGATGAAACACTGATGAAATCACACTGATGTTGTTCACTCAAAACCTGAAGAAATACCTTGATATATATCATGGAAACAATACAAGTGACCACTAACACAATTGTCCAGAAATTAATACTTTTCACAATATTTACCAACTTCCAAAACTCAAGGACAAAAACATTATTGATCTTCGACGCAATCCCAGCTAGAAAAAGAAACTATATTCCGGCAATAGGTACTTCACTTAATTGAAAGAGCTATTGAAACCAGTCTAAGTGAAACCACACTGCTATATATTAGCTTCTTTTAATTAATTATGGTCTGAGTAGAAAAAGAGTTGCAACCTTTCTTGATCTTGTTCGTCTTAAAACTGCATCCAATTCCTCCTCAAGCTGGGTAAGCTCTGGAATATCTAGATTTTCAATGTCTTGTGCTTCCATATCACTGCAAACACATAATCAGACCCCCGTCATGTGGGTGAAATGCAACGAAGCTTCTATACATGATACTTACCTTTGAATCATTTTCAGAGATTGGTTAGCGCCTGTGCGGAGACCACTCCCTTCGGAATTATTCTTCTGCATCTGAGATTAGCAGAATGTGAGAAGAGACGATACGGTAAATGATAAACCTCTATTCTTATCCAGAGAACATAGGCTCAAAGTATTGCTACTGGTGTTTGTAACTATTTTGACAATGATACAAAACTTGAAGTCCTAACAAATACAGTAAATTGGTTGAACTGTTAGTTCAATAACTTCAATTTTATTTTCTCATGCTGTGTTATTTCAATAACTTCTTTCATGATCAATATGGGTGAGTATCACCGATAACTAAATTGGTTTCTTATAAGCCAACAGCGTATATCAAGCTTACCGTTTCACCGAGCTCGATAACTCGGTGGATTAACATATAGGTGAATTCAATCTACAATTTAACATTTTACGAGTAATTTGAAAGTAATTTTGTGCAGAGTAAAACGTTTGACTAACCTTGTCAGTACCACCAGCATCCTTGGAAGTACCAATTTCCTCATCATTATGTATCTGGTAACGCTCGACAAGCTTTCCAAAACTGAAGTAATGAAGGTCACAAGGAAAAAAAAATACAAACCATAAGCAAGATTATTTTGTGCATTAATTAATATGAAAGAAATAAACCATCAATGATATACTTGCTGTAGAAGAAATAACATTTGTAAGAATATAATTCATATAGAAAATAGATTAAATTGGAAATAGGAGGTAGGGGCCAGACCATTTTAAAAACTAGGGAAAAACTTCCTTTTCTATTTTCTATTGTAAAATAACTCAAAACACGGCTCCTCTCATGTGTCGATTAAGAGTATCTATTACGTGTAAACCGTACAAAGTGAAAATTAGACTTAAGGATAGCATACTCTAATACCATATTAGAATGTGAATATCCAATCTAAATTGGACATACCAAGCGATAATTGGACTTTAAGGATGCCACATTAGAATGTGAATATCCAATCTAAATCAATTGTCCAGAGCACAAAGAGACAAGACCAACACATGTCCATATTCCCTTCTAATTTAGCCATGTTCCAAATGTGTACAAAATTCTAACCTATGGGCCTCGACAGTTGTGTGTGTCCTTGTTAAGAGTATCTCACATTAGAGATAGAAGTTTGGCAAAAGGAGTTTTGGATCTTTTCGCGATTGCCAATTGTATTTTAGATGCTTACACTATAATACTGGCTAAGCACATGTTAGGCTTAACAGAAACACTTGTTCCTAAGTAAGTGAGAATTGTGACATTTTGAAGAATCTCTTGCATTAAGTGCTTAAAAGAACTTGAAGTTTCCATGTATTTCCAATTGGTTTTGCATTGAACATTCATAATCTAACATGGTACGTATTAGAGCTAAAATTAATAGATATCCTTGAATGGAAACATTTGAAACTATAGGGGATAAAAGTAAATTTTTGTGCAAACTACATGGACTAAATGTAGTTTGTCCTCGAAAGGAATGGCAATTTGTCTCCTTTGAGGTTAGATGTTGACCCTCTATGAGTTGCAAGAATCTTTAAAGATCGATTTTGGCTCTATCCGATGATTGGAAAGAGGAAGTGAGTTTCATGACAATATTATGTGTTTGTGTCTTTTCATGCACTTTTTTCCTTCCTTTTTTTTATGGGATGCTTTTTTTGTGTATTTGTTGTGGGCTTATGATCTTATCCAATACTTTATGTAAATAAAAACTCCCGAGGGTTGGAAAGCCAATTAGAAGAGCATATGAAAGGGACAGTTTTTAAGTATTCACTGTTCCATGCATATGGTCTATGGTCTAATATCTAACTGGATGGTCTAAATGTAAGGCGCATATGGTCGTATATGAAAACGACATTTACAATTTTACTCTAAATGTAAGGATCATATAGTCTAATAGCTTTAGATGATAGTGTATTAGATTTTCACTTATACGTCACAGGTTCAAAACTTTCATATTTACCAAATTATTGTAAAGTTACGAACCTTCCTCCCTCTATTTAATAATAATAACAAAAGAAAACTCTGAATGTAAGGCTCATGCCATGACTACTTCGACAACCCTTCTAAACTTTGCAAGGGCTTAGAAGGAGTTTGGCTATTCTTCCACTTTTCTTATTTACATCAGACCATTTTGGCTCGCGTGTGAAGCTAAAGGATCACACATACTCCATGATACCTAATATGCGTTGTCAAGGACCACATGTGCTCCACTCACCTAGTATGTGTTGCACACATGCTTGGCTTGAGTGTAGCCACTGTAATGAGATGTGTGACGTTGTGAAGAATTATCCAGCATAGGGATATGTAAATCCCTTGTCGTCTGGTAAGGATCTATAAGAAGTTGAGATACTCCCCCTATGTCCAAACAAGTTGGCACGTATAAATCTAACAATCTTCATACTTAACATCACTAATCACATTGTCTACGTATTAAGTTTAAAAACTCGCGATCACTAAATGGACGAGGGAACGAGGAGTTGAGTTATTCCTGTATCCGTAGTTTGTTTTGGACTGGTCTTTCACATTCTGGTTTGGTTTTGGAAGCAATGGATAAGTTTCTCGAATCTCGGTCGGTTTTGTTTTACTCGAAGCCAGATGGCAAACAATGAGGTATGACAACCTAGGACTCTTCAGAGTCAGTGGATTATCATGCATACACATATTTCATGCACATATTTTATTAGAATGCATTCAAAACTTATCTATATATTTATTGCATTCATTCTATGAAGTACATACTTGTGACCATCTTAACGTTCCCTAATATGAGTAACAGCTAATTAATTTCACATTTATAACCAGATCATATGTAATAAAACTTCTTTTTTTTTAAATTATAACAACATAATTTTTTTTATAAAAAATAAATTATTAGATGATTTTTTTTTTTTTAACTTTGTCCATAGATTTTGATCTTGGTCCTCTCTTTCCTATATTTAAATATTTATAATGCTACATAAGATTTTTTTGACGTTTATGAACAGATGTACCTTGGCCGCCCTTCATAGAATAGACTACATCTTTCTTCTTTCTGCAGTAAGAGTTCAAGATTTATATTCTTGTAATTAACATGGTCATTAGCCACAGAGTGAGGATATATACAAATATACTACTAATTACTATTTTATTTTTTAGTTTTTGAGTTCAAGATGGTTAACAAACCATGCAAATCGAACGAATAGAATCTTATTAACCCTAAAACGATATCAGATGCATATATGCTCAAGAGTAGACTTTGGCTACTCTGATTAATGATCCTTTCGCTAACTCACGTCATGCAACCAAACAAACTTCATCGATCTCATACATGCTCACGACATGCATGCATAGCAACTTAGACGTTAATCTTTAACTATTACCATACGACTCCTTAATTATGCAGGGAAACTTATCATCTCAACATATCGTGCTATACAATTTTTCAGTGAATTCTTGAAGGAATTCTATCGTGTGATGGAAACACCACTTTACATGTTGATGTGGTGTTACAGATTCACTCACAAATTCACCCGCGTATATGCGTAAAACTATTAAAACATGAGAGTGTACCATAATATCGACATATAATAGCAAGTGTCACTCACAACTTCCATCAGTCAAATGGTAATTATATTGATTAGTCACTATTTTAGTTGCTTATAAAAGCTAGTATTACTTCCTTTTCGACACTTTGCATTCCATATCTCTTTGTTCACAAATTAGATGTGATCAGATAATTTACGAATGGTTGAGGTATGTGATAATCTAGTCGATGGTAAGATAAGGTATGTGATTGTTTCTCCAGTTACGGTGCAATGTTTTATTGTACTACTGAATTCAATAATCAATGAATATGAATCACACATTATTCAGATAAGAACTTGATCAATATAATTCAATGTTTGGCATCTTATGTTGCCAAATGGTTTGTGTGACATCCCACATCGCCCAGGGGAGTGATCCTTAAATGTATATTCACATCCCTACCTAGCACGAGGCCTTTTGGGAGCTCACTGGCTTCGGGTTCCTTAGGAACTTCGAAGTTAAGCGAGAAGGAGGCCAGAGCACTCCTAGGATGGGTGACCCACTGGGAAGTTGCTCGTGAGTTCCCAAAAACAAAACCTTGAGGGAATGGTAGGAACTTCGAAGTTAAGCGAGAAGGAGGCCAGAGCACTCCCAGAATGGGTGACCCACTGGGAAGTTGCTCGTGAGTTCCCAAAAACAAAACCTTGAGGGAATGATAAGCCCAGTGGACAATATCGTGTTACGGTGGTGGAACGGGCCCGGGATGTGGTGGACCCAGGCCGGGATGTGACAAATGGTATCAGAGCCAATCCTTGGCCGGAAGTGTGACGACGAGGATGTCGGGCCCTTAAGGGGGGGTGGATTGTAACATCCCACATCGCCCAGGGAAATGATCCTTAAATGTATATTCCCATCTCTACCTAGCACGAGGCCTTTTGGGAGCTCACTGGCTTCAGGTTCCGTAGGAACTCCGAAGTTAAGCGAGAAGGAGGCCAGGGCACTCCCAGGATAGGTGATCCACTGGGAAGTTGCTCGTGAGTTCCCAAAAACAAAACCCTAAGGGAATGGTAAGCCCAAAGCAGACAATATCGTGCTACAGTGGTGGAGTGGGCCCGAGAAGTGGTATGCCCCGAGCCGGGATGTGACAAATTGGTATCAGAGCCAATCCCTGGCCGAAAATGTGCCGACGAGGACGTCAGGCCCCTAAGGGAGGTGGATTGTGACATCCCACATCGTCCAGGGGAGTGATCCTTAAATGTATATTCTCATCCCTACCTAGCACGAGGCCTTTTGGGAGCTCACTGGCTTCGGGTTATGTAAGAACTTCGAAGTTAAGCGAGAAGGAGGCCAGAGCACTCCCAGGATGGGTGACCCACTGGGAAGTTACTCGTGAGTTCCCAAAAACAAAACCGTGAGGGAATGGTAAGCCCAAAGCGGACAATATCGTGTTACGGTGGTGGAACGGGCCCACCCAGGCCAGGATGGGACAAATAATTGTGACATCCCACATCATCCAGGGGAGTGATCCTTAAATGTATATTCACATCCCTACCTAGCACGAGGTCTTTTGGGAGCTCACTGGTTTCGGGTTCCGTAGGAACTTCGAAGTTAAGCGAGAAGGAGGCCAGAGCACTCCCAGAATGGGTGACCCACTGGGAAGTTGCTCGTGAGTTCCCAAAAACAAAACAGTGAGGGTATGTTAAGCCCAAAGCGGACAATATCGTGTTACGGTGGTGGAACGAGCCCGGGATGTGGTGGACCCGGGCCAGGATGTGACAAATGGTATCCGAGCCAATCCCTGGTCAGAAGTGTGACGACGAGGACGTCGAGCCCCTAAGGGGGTGGATTGTAACATCCCACATCACCCAAGGGAATGATCCTTAAATGTATATTCCCATCTCTACCTAACACGAGGCCTTTTGGGAGCTCACTGGCTTCGGGTTCCGTAGGAACTCCGAAGTTAAGCGAGAATGAGGCCAGAGCACTCCCAAGATGAATGACCCACTGGGAAGTTGCTCGTGAGTTCCCAAAAACAAAACCGTGAGGGAATG